ACAGGCAACCTGTTTTCCAAATAGGGAATGCTTCAGAAGTTGGCTGCAGACAGGAACTGATTCTAACATCTGTCCTATGATGCTTTTTCAGGTGTCGTCAGCAAAACTGCCAGGGTCTCACCCCAGCACGTACAGTAAAACACTGGTCAATCTGCGGCATCCCTTCTCTTCTGCCACAAACAACAAGTCCTGAACAGCTGAAACCTCCCACTCCCTAAGCCCTGCTGCCAGCTGCCGTTCCACAGGACCTTTGGGGCCCAGCTCTGGTAGGGCCCAGCTGTGGCACCTCAGCTCTGACTGCTGGGAGAAAGCGGTGAGAAAGTCCGCAGAGACCTGAGAGAGGTAGAAACCCCCAGGAGAGGCAGGACTGTTGGAAGAAGGGCTTGGAAGTAGCTCAAGGAGCCAGGAGGGGAGGTGGTGACGCAGGAGGTACAAACCACAAGGGGAGGAGCACCCAGGGAGCTCAGCCAGGCTGGTGGGGACAGTCAGGGAGGGCTCAGGGGGCTGGGGGCTGTGGGGCTGGCCCTCGCCTGCTCTGCCTGACTCTGGCCTCCCTGGCCAATCGAGCCACGTGCTGCCTGCCTTTGGTGGGGTCACCTGACAAAACCTTTCCTTTCTACATTTAACAGGTCTATCCTCTACTTGCAGGGTCTCATCGCTCAGTTGTGGGTGCCCAAACTACCTGATGTGAAGACGGACCCTAAATCACCTCTGACAGAGACCAGCTCACCCTCGGATGAAGCCGTTACTGGGCAGCTCATGCAGAGAAAAGAGAGAATGAATAAATTGGGCGATGCTCAGAGGAGCAAGAGTTTATCAAGTTCCCAGCAGTCATGCTGGGTGTCCTTGCACTATACACGTCTGAGAAACATTTTTGTGATTCACTGGTAGCTGAAAATAATTCTTAGTCTAAATATGCCTTCTCCACAACGCCCCCAAGAACACAGAGGCAGGAAGATGGTAGTGGCCCTTACCCACATATGAGCAAGGATGTTGACATCAAACATTCTTTCAATTTGGTGGTCCTGAGTCGAGAGCAGGTCAGCAGCTGTAATGACACCAGCATTATTCACCAGGATGGAGACATCCCCAATGTCCTTTTTCACCTTTTGGATGGAGAAAAAACAGAAAGGTCTGCGTCATTCTTTATCAGAAAAAAATGCAAGGCTGTGGAAGATGAGCAACAATTCGTATCATTCTTAACGTTCTTTCTTTTAGGAAGATCATGCCACGTTTCCAGATGTGGAAGCACCTGAGCAGTAGTACTGTGAGATCGGGGGTTTAGTTTGATGCTTCTCCCTTTATTACTGCCAATATTTTGAACTCTTCCACATACTGCCCACAGACACAGTATGCTCTGTATAGTCACTCTTGGGCCTATGGGTGTACAGAGCCAGCTCGAGCAGATCCTCTACAACAAAATGTTTCATACGTCCCTGGTGTTGTCTGTGGGCTCTTCAGGAAACTAAGAGGTAGAAATTCCTTCAGGAGCTGGAAGTCTAAACAGCAAACTTGGCAGCAAGGAGTGAAATGCCAAAGCCTCCCAAAAGAGGATGAGTCTTGCTGCGATCTTGGAAGTGCTACTTCACTCTCCAT